TACACTCTCTCACAAATATCATGCACGGCATCACCCTTCGTGCTTTACACTCTTCCTTACCCAAGAAACAATCACAAAGCAATTTGGGTAAGGAAATCAATAACATCACAATAAAATCAAGTAACCACAGAAACCCAATAAATAGACGTAGAGAACATCATAACTCAATTATCAACAAAAATCAGGAAAATCAAGGACAAGTGCACGGCATCACCCTTCGTGCTTTTACTCTCGTCCTCACCATAAGAATCAATATAATCGGCACGGCATCACCCTTCGTGCTTTTACCTCACATAATCATGGCACGGAATGATCCTTCGTGCATTAACACTCTCTCACAAAATATCATGCACGGCATCACCCTTCGTGCTTTAATACTCTCTCACCAAAATAATGCACGGCATCACCCTTCGTGCTTTAACACTCTTCCTCACCCAAACAACAATCACAACAATAAGGGCAAGGAATTAAATAGAATCACAATAAAATCACAATGAAAATCCCGGCAAGGGAATAGAATCAAAAGCAACGACATCCCGGCAAGGGAACAATATTAAAAGCAATAACATCCCGGCAAGGGAACAATATTAAAAGCAATAACATCCCGGCAAGGGAACAATATTAAAATCCTCTTCTCTTTTTCACATTTACTTCACAACTCAATTTACAACTTGAGCCAACGCTCTACCATGCTCAATTACCAATGGTACTTTCACAATTCGATTCACAACTTGAGCCAACGCTCTACAAGGTTCGAATACTAATGATACTTTCACAATTCGATTCACAACTTGAGCCAACGCTCATAAATGTTCAAACAACGATGATACTTTCACAAATCAATTCACAACTTGAGCCAACGCTCTTAGATGTTCAAACACCAATGATACTTTCACAAATCAATTCACAACTTGAGTCAACGCTCTTAGATGTTCAAACACCAATGATACTTTCACAAATCAATTCACAACTTGAGCCAACGTTCTTAAATGTTCAAACACCATTGATATTTCACAAATCAATTCACAACTTGAGCCAACGCTCTTAAATGTTCAATTACCCAATTTACTTCCACAAGCCTTGTTCAACATTAGGAATATCACATAAGATATGAACAATACAAAATGGAGTCGCATTAATCATAGTGTAAGACTCATGGGCATGCTTGACACCAACGTATAGATAGTCATCACCATGCCTATACGTCGTACTCAACAATTAACACATAGCAAATAGGACACGACTCCTAATCCCTCAAGCTAAGGTTAGACCAAACACTTACCTCGATGCCACGAACACAATTCAAGCCTCAACTACCCTTTTACCTCTTGATTCCACCACCAATTCGCTCGTATCTAGCCACAAGTTACTTAACTATATCAATAAATGCTATATGAATCAATTCCAATGCATGAAAATAGGTTTTGTAAAGTTTTTCCCAAAAAGTCAAAAATTGCCCCCGGGCCCACAGTCAAAACTCGAGGTTCGAACCAAAACCCGATTACCCATTCACCCACGAACCCAAATGTATAATTTGTTTTGAAATCGAACCTCAAATCGAGGTCCAAATCCCCAAAATTTGAAAAACCTAGGTTCTACCCAAAACACCCAATTTTTCCCATGAAAACCTTTGCTTTTGAGTTGAAATCATGAGAAAAGATGCTAAAGATTAATGAAAACGAGTTAAAAATGACGTACAATCGGTTTGGAACAGTACTTGTCTTTGGAAAATCGCCCAAGAGGGTTTATGTTTTGAAAGAGTTTGAAAAATGAAAGATTTTCGGTTAAGTTATGAATTTGCAGGTTGCAGTCGCAATTGCGACCACGGTTCGTAATTGCAAACCCTTCAGAAGACTGCTATCATCGCATTTGCGATTAATGTTCGCAATTGCGAACTCGCTTTTGCGATGGAATTGTCGCATTTGCGACATTGAAGGATTCCAGGCCACTTCGCAAATGCGATGGGCCCTTCGCATTTGCGATATCGCTTTTGCGATGACTACGTCGCATTTGCGACCCCAAGGCAGACCAGGTCTTTGTCGCATTTGCGATACACGTTCGCAATTGCGAGCCAGGCTTCGCAAATGCGAAGCCTGCAGACCTGCAACACACCAGCAATTCCTAAGTGCAAATTTCACTCTGTGGCACCAAAACTCACCCGAGCCCTCGGGGCTCCAAACTAAACATGCACGCAAGTCCAAAAACATCGTACGGACTTGCTCGTGCGATCAAATCGTCAAAATAACATCAATAACTATGAATTAAGCCTCAAATTCATGAAATCACTTAAGAACATCAAATTTTCCAATTTTTCTCAAATAAGGTCAGATTCACGTCATATGACCTCCGTTTCTTACCAAACTTTACAGACTTAACCTAAATCACATATAAGACCTGTACCGGGCTCTAAAACCAAAATACGTGTCCGATACCATCAAATTTCAAACACATTTTATTTCCAAAAACTTATATATATTCCAGAAAACAATTTTCTTTAAAAATTCATTTCTCGGGCTTGGGACCTCGGAATTCGATTTCGGGCATACGCCCAAGTCCCATATTTTCCTACGGAACCTCCGGGACCGTCAAATTACGGGTCCGCGTCTGGGTTCGTTTACCCAAAATGTTGACCGAAGTCAACTTAAATTCATTTTAATAGCAACATTTATTATTTTTTACAGATTTTTACGTAATGGCTTTCCGGATAGATGTCGGGACTGCGCACGCAAATCAAGTAAAACAAAAGGAGGTTTTTAGGCTCGGAACATAGAATTTATTTCTAAAACAAGTGATGACCTTTTGGGTCTTCACAACTAATCTCAGAAGAAAAAACACGGACATCATGTAAAACAATAGAGGAAAAATGAGAAAGAGATATGGGAATGATAGAAGTAGTAGCGGATGTAGCAGATGCAACAGGAGGCAGAATAAGCTTGTAGAGATTGTGATCCAATTTACCAAGAACCAGACGCATCTTCAGTGAAGGACTTGTATAGCACAAAGAGTTTTGGTAAACAGAACAATCCCATTGAACTGATCTAACAACTTATATACAGAAAGTAATTTGTAATGGAGGGAAGGAACATAAAGTACATGATGAATTGTGAAGTTATGAAATAAAGTCATAGATCTTACAAAATGAACTTTGACCTTATAACCATTGGGTAAGGAGACAAGACAAGGGATAGGTAAATGTTTTAGGTTGAAGAGTAAGTCTTTGTGGGAGGTCATGTGATCAGAGGCTCTAGAATCTATGATCCAAATAAAACTATCTACCTAGGAAAGCATACCAGATTTGGGCAAAACACTCTCTGATAGCAACTTACCAGCAAAATTAGCAGAAGCCATGAGGTTTGGAGTGGAGGAGGAATCAGAGATGTGAGTTTGTTGGAGAAGCATCATCAATTATGAATATTGATCCTTAGTCAGACTAGACACCACTGAATCAGGAACAATCTCAGAAGAAGTATCAGCTTGAGATCCCATACTAGAATCAATATCAGTAGAACAGGGACCATTGTTGGGACCAAATACACACGCAAGTATACGTAGCCGTCAAGTGATAAAGTGACTCGAAAGTCGGATGTCGAACCCACAGAGACTTAGTTTGACCGTTAACTAAGCAAACTAAAATATAGCTAATTGTCCAAGATATTTAAGAGTAATATTTTTCCATTAATCTACTATTGCGGAAATTAAACAAGTAACAATTAAATTATCATGAATGCAATTTTGTATGACGAGATTTTACTTCAGAGGAGATGGAAATTCCAGGATTGTGGTTGATTTATCAATCCTATTAAGTTTAACAATCACACTCATTAATCCAGATTATCTATGGTTGCTAATTAACTGGATCGTTTATATGAATAGCATGTTCCCACAATACTACACGCTTGCCCACAATATATCAATCCTATATTCCTATGGTATTGAGTCTATCATGAACGAATATAATACGGTATTTAATTAAGCAAGACTGTTAGATACACTCCTATCCTAACCGCGAAATCATTCCGCGAGCCACGGGTTCAGAAACAAGCTTTTTCTAATTCTACTCTAATCTAAACACGGCTTTCCCAAGCATAGCATAGATAGTAGGGTGAATTAGTAGCTATAATAATTCACAAATTAAAACTAGAATTAAGAAACAACCACAACATGATAATCTGAATTAACGAAGATGTAATCAATAAACGTTAATAATCATGTCAACCACAACCCTAGAACGTAGAGTGCTTAGCCACTCATGTTCGTAGTAACAATTTTCTAAGTATTTTGCATAAACAAATTACAAAGAAAAAAAAAAGGGATGAAGAACTCTATGATTTTCTCCTCCAAAAGTTGTCCACGTGATGTCCTTGCCTCCTTTCGCAAAACTCCTCCAAAGCGGCATTTTACGTCTATTTATATGTGTAGGAAAAGACCTAAACATGTAGGTCAAGTCCTAGTCAAACCAGGAGACGAATTAAGTCTTCAAAATTTGGAATGTGCACTCCCCAAACATGGCATCGCCAGGCATAACGCCTGGTGGACCTCACCCCAGGCCTGGCGTCGCCAGGCATAACTCCTGGTTAAGCTTGCCTTTGCCTTGCCTTGCCAGGTATAACGCCTACTACAAGCTTGGCATCGCCAGGTCTAACGCCTAAAATGAGTTTCGCGCCGCCTGCTCAATCGCGAGCAATGAACCTTGCGTCGCCAGCTTCTTAGCTTCAAGTCAAATTTCACGTTGCTTCCTAACTTTTGCAATCTCTCTCATTCTGATCACTTCTTCTTTCTTTTCATTTCTTTTGCCTTTGTCTTGTTTTTCATGTCTTTTTGATTTGTCATCTTTTATAATATTATTTTAGAGCATGAATTACACATTCAATGTTTATTTTGCTCCAATTTCATTTCTGATGTACCTACTCATAAAATAGACTTAATTAAGCCCAAATATAGTATAGTTTAGCATTAAAGCACCTAAAGTGTTAGGTAATTAATGCACTAAAAATATAGAATTATAGCCAAATATCAACCATCTCCAACTGAACATGAGCAACAGTCTTCCTTGGACCAGATCCCTTAATAAACTTGAAGTTGGGAGGGTATCCATGCAACTTATAGCATTTGTCAATGGTATGACCTAGTTTCTTACAGTACTTACAGATAGAAGACTTGAGGGAATCAAAATAGACTCTAGAAAAGTAGACTTGTTTGGATACACCCGCATTAAAAGAGGTAGAGCTAGGAAGAAACTGAGAGGAATTAGAAACTTGTCTCTGCTTCTCATCTGATAGTAGAATGCTGTAAACAGTGCTAACAGAAGGGAAAGGTTTAATCATGAATATGTTGCTTCTGGTTTGTATGTAGGTGTCATTTAAACCCATCAAAAATTAATAGACCTTCTGGATATCCTCATCCTATCTGATAGTCAGACTTAGCACCACAAGTACTGCAAGTCCTGACTCGAGTAACTGATAAAGTAATAATCTAGTTCCAGAGTTGCTTGATCTTATTAAAATAGGATGCAATGTAAAGAAACCCTTGTGAGATATGAGCTAACTCCTTTTTTGAGTTCAAAAATTATGGCAGCATCTTCCTGACCATATCTCTCTTCCAACTCTCCCCAAATGTCCTTGGCAAGCTCAGAATATTCAACACTACAAGCTATTTCCTTGGACAAAGAGTTGGTTAACCATGAAATCACTAAAGCATTGCACTTCTGCCACTGTCTTGCCAGGGGAGAAGTATTAGGAGGTTTAACAGAAAACTACATTGACAAAATCTAGTTTGTTTCTGACAGAGAGAGCTACCATAATAGTGCGTCTCCAACTCTCATACCCAGTACCATCAAATGGCACTGTGACTAAAGAGGTTCCATGTACATCACAAGGATGTACATATAAAGGATGACATGGATGGGTATAATCATCCTCATGGAAGACAGAACGAGAAGATGCAGGTCTAGAGGTAGACAAGATAGGGGGAGAGGAAGTCTCGTCCGGCATTTCTCAAACACAAGCAAAAAAATATCAACAGATACTAGGCATCCAAGCTATAGATGAGAAAAGTTACCAATGTCCTTCGCGAACCGGAAGGAACAACGGCCTTGGTGTTGAAAAAGCTCGTGAATCCACAGATGAAAAGACGACTACCAAAACCCTATCTTTGGCTTGAAGTTGATGAGGACCAAAAATCAGCTGAAGAAACCCAGCGTGCTCGATCGAATAACACAGAATATGAGAAGAATCAACAGCAAAATGCAAAATTTGTTAGGAAATTTGGAGATTTCCATAAAAAAAATAGTCAACCACAATGAATACAATCGACAACCAAAAACTCGACGAAAAAGCTGAAGGGTAACATCGGACGAGTGAAAATCACGAGGCCTAACTGGATCTTAGCTCTAATACTATGTTAAAACTAGGATTTGAGAGAGATATTGAAGAATTCATTGTTAGGGTTGAGAGAACATAGAGAGAGAATCGGGGATTCTCTTATTGGCTGAATACATAAGCAACCCCTTAAACTTATCCTTTTTTTCCACTTAGACACTTATACTAAGGCTTGTTCCAAACTTCCAATTGAACACTTGAACTCAAACTCAATTGTACCTATCAGGCACAATTCGCTGACTTGGCACATACGTGTATCTCACTTAAAATAAAGCGCGTGTTGCCAAAAACATGTGAAGATTTTGTCAGAAAAATAATTTTCCGGTCACAAATTTTACAACCATCTTTACTGATTCCGGCGGTCGCCAGGACCACCGCCGTCACAACACCATATTCTTCTTCTCAGATCCGGCCATCACCACCTCTTCTCCCACCATAGATCCGGCCACCACCACAGAGACCCGGCAACTTAAATCTAGTCGCGGCCACCTCTCCTCTCCGTAGATTTTGGCCATTAGAATTGTTAAAGTTTTCCAAGATTTCATCTTTGATATCTCCAAATCATCATCAGATGAAATTGAGCTATACCCATTTCAAACAGACGAAAAAGAGCACATACATGCCGTTTCTCTTTCACAATATTCACAAGAAATGATCAATATTACCGACTTTATCTTTGATCGCCAAAGATTTTACCAGTTGTGGCATTCACGGATGTTGGCATTTATTTTTTTCGACCAGTAGTGTTTTTGTTGCGGTTTGGTAAGAAGAAAACATCATTCACCAATTTTGCAGATTTGTCAACGAAGAAAACATCATTCAAGCCAGTAGAGTTTCATTTTTCGCCGGTATTCCTGTTTATCCGATAGAGGTTTTTGATTTTTTTCCTTGAGATTTTAACTTTTTTATTTTATTTTTGACGGTCCTTTTTCTCATTGGTAAATTGCCATGTCACAGCAAGTGACACTTACGCACCAAAATTTTGTTCAGAAATGTAAAATATGTGTTGAATTGGCACAGTATTTATATAGATAAAGTGTTCAGCCTTTCTTATTACTGTGATGAAAAAAAATCCGCCCTTCAATATACTGGGGCATGTCTATATATATAGTCTTAATATAGACCCTGCTAGCCCAAACTACTAAACTCATATAACCACCTAACCAACTAAACATTATACATCTGAATAAATACAAGGTGGGCTGCGAGGCCCAATACAAAGGAACACTAACACTAACCAATACTAACTACCAGATTTATTATGTAATACTATTTGCACTAATCTCAACAAAAACTGGACAGTTTATGGGTGAATTTTTTTGTAGTCAAAAAATTTCTTTTCTTTTACAAATAAATGCATGTTCAAACACAACTTCAACTATCAAATATTATTTTGAACAAAACTTTAATCTTTTTCTTTTTCAAATTTCACCCAAATCTATGTCCAAACGCTAGGTAAATATTTAGGAGGAGAGGAAGGTTTGGGGGGGGGGGGGGGGATGGGGAGATGTTGGATGTGTCCTTTGATATTTGGGCAGAGAAACACTGAAATGGAAGAAACAAGAGGGCACGTTGGCCTGTACTGGGAGAATGGGAAATAGAACATCTGGAAGATACATATTCTTGTGTAAACAACCCCATGTGAATATTGGGCCTTGAACTACTCTCATCTTTGGACTTTTTTGCCCGTTTTTGTACACCAACAAACATACACCACCTCGTTATAATGATGATGATTGGCATTATATTTTAAACAAATAATAAAAGATTTATATAACAACCATGCTTCGTTAGACCCATACCTGAATTTTTTGTGAAGGAAAACATTTTATTATAAATCTATGAATAATCTCTATAATTCTTTATTTCCTCCACACATTAAAATAAGCTAGTAATATTTGTATTTATAATAGTTCAAAACCTATTTCAACTAGAAATAGAAAAGCCTATTCTTATATTTATTCTAACTACAAATCCTATTTAGACATGAATTAAATAAATCAAATCCTAAATAATTAAGATATCCTAGTACAACTTTGAATTAGTTTTCCAACATTCTCCCATAATTCAAAGTTGTATATGTCTGACTTGTCCGCTGTGCAGTTATGTTGGAGCACTTCTCTCCAACTTTCACTTTTAATGAAGCACATGTCTCCATCCCTCAATTTGTTGAAGCACCTGTCTCCAACTCACGTTGATGCACTTTGTCACCAACCGTTGATGCACTTTGTCACCAACACTCAATTTTTGTTGAAGCACCTGTCTTCAACACCCGTTGATGCACTTTGTCACTAACCGTTGATGCCCTTTTCACCAACACCCAATTTTGTTGAAACTCCTGTCTCCAACACTTTGTCACCAACACCCTATTTTGTTGAAACATAGAATTAACTTCCAACTTTTTTTTAAACCTCTCCAACTTTTAGAGAAGACTTTCTTCATCTTGTGCCATACTTGTTTGCACCTCTTTAAACTTTTTTTTCATGAATTTGTCATGAAAATTTTCACTGAATAACCTAATTTTGTCGATAACTATTTATGATTTTGCCAACATATTTTTTGCCAGACGAGCGGCACATATTGGCTAGCATCGCCCGCTGACAGCGGAAGCTACTTGATTCTCTCCCGAGATCGTAGAAGCTCTGATACCAATATGAAGGAAAATATATTATTATAAATTTCTGATTGAACTCTACAATTCTTTATTTCCTCCACACATTAAAATAAGCTAGTAATACTCCTATTTATAATGGTACGAAACCTATTTCAACTAGAAATAGAAAAGCCTATTCCTATATTTATTCTAACTACAAATCCTATTTAGACATGAATTAAATAAATCAAATCCTAAATAATTAAGATATGCTAGTACAACTTTGAATCAGTTTTCCAACATTTTGGAAATTTTTTTTTTATTCAAATTCGCTTTTTCAGTAATGTGAGATTTAACATACGGAGAAGTCAAGGGAATTCAATATTTCATGTATATACATAATTTTTTTTTACCATACATACACATTATAATTTTTCAGTAAAAGTGTTCGGATGAAACTCCCCTAGCTCCGCCACGGGTTACCATAGGATGAAACCTCTTGAATTTTGAGAGAATGTAGTAGAATGTCATTTGATCATTCAGTCAACCAACTATTAAACTCTAAAGTCCATATATCTAGCAAACGAAAGTTTGACATTAAGGGTGTGTTTGGTACGAATGAAAATATTTTTCGGAAAATGTTTTCCAATTTTCTCATATTTGGTTGGCTTAAATCTTTTGAAAAATACTTTCCTTATCAATTCATTTTCCTCCGGTTGGAGGAAAATATTTTCCTTATCAAGAGAAGGGAAAACATTTTCCAAAGCTCCTTCTCAACCTTGCTCACCCTCACCAACCCACCCCACCCCCTCTCCCAAAAAAGGGTTTTTTTTTTTCAAATTTCAGTTTTTCCGTTACCACCCACCCTACTACCCCTCCATCCCGTCCCCCCCCCCCCTCCCGCAAAAAAAAATATTTTTTTTTTGCAATTTCAAATTTCTATTTTTTATTTTTCTGCACCCCCATCACCCCCAACCCCACCTAACCCCCCCCCCCCGTCTAAAAAATTTTTTACTTTTTTTTGTAATTTAAATTTCTCTTTTTTTTCCTTTTACTGCACCCTCCCCCAGCCCCGCCCCCACCCCACCCCCCGAAAAAAAAAATTTTAAATATATTTTTCACTTTTAATTTTATTATTTATCGGTTTAAAGACTCAAAACTTTACAAGTTCCAAAATTATGAGTTCGGAGGTTTATGGGATTGGAAGTTTACGGATTTAGAAATTATAAAGTTTACGGGTTCGAAATTTCGCGGTTTTGAAAGATTAGCCGTTCGAAAGTTTATGAAATTTGTGGGTCCGGAAGGTTGTTGGTTTGAAAGTTTATGGCTTCATATTATATCTAAATTATTTATGAATACTCTTGAGAAGTCATTTTCCTTAATTTGCATACCAAACATCGGAAAATGAATAAGATTACTACTTGTTTTCCAAGAAAATATTTTCTTGGAAAACATTTTTCACGGAAAACATGTTCCATTATACCAAACACACCCTAAATATTTTTAAATTTTCACACTTGAAAGAAAAAAAAAGGAAAAAAAACAAATAAAATCTGCCGCGAACGAAAGTTTGACATTAAATAAAAAGATATAAGAGCAAGTTTATTATTTTCGAATTTCGACAGATCCTACGAATTTCTTGATCATAGCAAAAAACGAATAAAATGTCTTCGTATAAATGGAGGATTTGGCAAAAATATATAAAAAGGAAATTATAAGTAGATCATGTGAAGTAGCAAAAGTTGCAATACGCTAAAAATACGGTCACGTCAAGTTGCAGATAATCTGGTACATTCTTGTCCAATTTAACAAAAGACCTCATCCGTCCAATCGTATCGTCAAAACTGATTGGTTTGATGTTTGTTTTAGTTGGGCAAATTGATTCGAAATTTGATGGACAGATCGGCAGTAGCAGTCACGGACACTCTATTATAATCTTCACTACTAAAAAAATAAATAGCAGCAACGGACAAATTATGTAGTTAAACAGTAATATTCACAGTTAATCCTACTAGCAATG